ATCGTCTCAGGCCGTCGTTCAACGCTCACCTTTATCCCAAAGATTTTCAACGCTTGTAGCGTAACGATATTTTTTAATGATCTTGGTTGCTAACAGGTGTGACGTTGTCTTGCAGAAAAGGTGTTTGTTTTTCCACAGTGATGCATGGCAGCTTCTCCCTGGTCGTTTCGCTGTTAATGCGAAAGCACATGTTGCCCTTTTATCACATTGTTTTCCACAGAGGTTGAAACGTTTTGCTGTACCTTCAGGTTCTTATCTTAAATGGACACACGGTCGTTCACGATCTCAAAAACGAATAGTGAACTGTCACAGAGAAGTTTTACAAAATTTGAATCCAAACAGATTTTGGCAAAGTTGGTGCTTTCCTGCCACATCCCAGTGTGGGCACATCCTGGGCTACATTATGAAGAGCATAGCTAGCAGGAGTGCTCCTTTCTCTCTGCTTCATACAAGTAAGGCAATGGGAAGTAGTGTGTCTAGTTGGGGGCTTACCAGTAGAAGATGTGGATGACACACTGTGTGATTCCAGTGGAGGCCACCAAGCTGGTGAAGGGGCTGGAGCACATGACAGGAGCACAGCCTGACTGAACAGGGTCAGTCCAGCCTGACACAGAGGAGGCTGAGGGGAGATCCTATTGCAGGCTATGACTATGTGGTTGGAGGACAGAGAAGCAGAATACAGATCTTTCTAGGAGGTGAATAGTTGTAGGGCAAGAGGGAACAGGCACAAGCAGGAACATGGAAAATTCCAGTTATTTATTAGGAAAAAGTATTTCTACTGTGAAAGTGGTCAAATACTGGAAGGGGTTATCCAGAGAGGCTGTAATCCTTTCAGCCTTGGAAACATTCGGTAAACAGCTGGACATGTCCCTGAGTAACCTGATCTAATTAAACCTGTTCTGAGCAGGGGATTGGGTTAGGTGACCTCTGGAGGTCACTTACTTTCACATGCTGGTTTGGGCTGAAAATGACAATTCACATATTTTGTCTTTAACATCTGGGAAGTAAGAAGAGATATCAGAAGTGAATATTGTGAAGATTTTCAGCAGCACCATGGACAGACTTGTATTCATGTTTCTGATTTCCCACATTGTTTATTGTGTTTATAAACTTTATGTAATGGCAGCACAGTAAAGAATTCAGAAAGGTCTTTGGGAAAGGTCGGCAGAGTTCACCCCCCACTCAGATAAAGTCTGCTTAGATCAGATTGCTCTGTCCTGTCTGCTAGAACTAGTTTTGAGTGGTGCCAAAGATGTCTCTTCAGCACCTGGTTCTGGTATTTGTCCATTCTGATGGAGAAAAAGTTCTGGTCAGAATTACTTTGTTCCAGCTTGTGTCTGTTGCCGTCTCATGGTGCGCTGTATCGTGCCTGTCATCAATAATCAGCTTACCCTTGCTGTTTTGGCAGGAGCCACAGTAGTTAAAACTGTAGGTGGTGTGAACGTCTCTGTTCTAAATCCAGTCTGTCCAACAAAACTTGAGTGTTTTTTACCATTTTGACAGTGATATTTTCTGAATATTTGGACAGCAAACTGTTTGGTTGTTGGGTGGGAGAAGGGTGTGCATTTCATGGTTTCCTGCAAATGCATCTGATGAGAATAGGAGGAGAACACGGGACTTTTGGTGGAAATAACCTTTGAGTGTTCTGGTAAAAACTGACTTTGAAATCAAAAAGGCATGACCCATTGAAAATATTCATATCTTTACAGAACATTTTAAAAAGAAGGACTGAATTTAAGAGTTGTAATTTGGGGATTGTCCAAATTCCTTATAGAAGTGTGTTGTCAAGGCTCACATAAGTATTACTTGAAATACAATGTGAAATTCCTGGGGCGCTAAAAAGAAGAGAGAAGAGACTTCAGTTCAAAGCTGCAGCTTGCAAAAAATGCACAGCAGTGCATTTACTTAATCTTGTCAGATTGCTGGGAACTTTTTCTTCTGTTGCAGAGCTTATAAGGGGGTTTTTTTGTTTCTTTTTCCTTCTTTTTTTTTTTAAGTTCTTTCACTCTAGACTTTAGAAGCTGTAAACCCCAACTCTTGCATACTTCTTAAAGAATACTTCAAAAATACATCTCATCAGTTTGGTTTGGTGTTCATTTGCAGCTTGCTTTGGAGACCGTGTACTTCTGTGGTGACTTTTACACACCTGAACTTCATGCTTCATGAGATGTGTTTCAGTATCATTTCTTTCTTTCACAGTAAGCGATGGATTGGAGTTGAGGCCAAAATACAATGGGATTCTCCACTGTATAACCACTGTCTGGAAGCATGAAGGACTGCGAGGCCTATATCAAGGAGTAACTCCAAACATGTTGGGAGCAGGAGCTTCCTGGGGACTTTACTTTTTCTTGTAAGTAGAACTGTAAAATACGTCATATCCTGTGCAATGTAATGCTCAGATATATACTGCATCTTCTTTGGGTGGTATAAAATGTGCCTATAAACTTGTGATTCTTTTAGCGAGTCCGGAATTTGAGAATTTAAGCAATTTCATTCAGAGACCTGTTCCTTTATCAAGTACAGTGCCTTCCCTTGATGCTGTGAAAATACTACAGAACCTGAGAGGTGTTGACATCATTCACCAGGACACCTCTAAAAGTGTCGATACACTGTGTTTAGAAACTCACAAAAGACAAAAACCTAAACTGATATGTTAAGAATTAGAGACCATGATAAAGTTTTTTACTAAAGCTAAATATTTAACTGAATTTTAAATTATTTTAGTGACAGTCAGTTGTTTCATTGTTTTTGGGACTTCATATGCTTTGCTTATAAAGCCCGTTTTTTAATACTCAATCTTCTCTACTTTATTAGCTGTGTTAACTGTGACCTAATTTACTGCTGATTCCTGCTAACTGAAACATCTTAGGGCGTAGTGCAAACCTCACTAGTCAGTTGTCAATACTCTGCTGTTGTACTTCAGTTCTCAAGCTTTGCTGTTGGTTCCTACTGACCCTTCAGCTCCTTCCACAAAGACTGAAAGTTGAATCAAGAGAATAAAGTTCTGTGTATTTGTGAGCTAGAAGACAGATACTGTCACTGTTGCTCTCAGTAAAAAGGAGGCTGGCTGCTCAGTTGCTTGTAGAAGTCAGTTCTTGAGATCTGATAGCTATTTTAAGATGCATTCCCACTGATACTGACAGTAATACTTTATCAATGTAAATATTTATCACCATAGTTCACTTTAAAGAGCTAACCACTCAGGGATCAATTAGTCAACTAAAAAAAAAATGCTTTGCTTAGGTATCTATTTTCAAAGGCTGTGTACCATCTGACATCTTCCATCATCTCACGTGAAACATTTTGTTGGTTTGGGGTTATTTTAGTGATGTATGATTGTTTTCACCTTTACCAAAATATATTTTACATTTTCCAGTTACAATGCCATCAAAGCTTACAAGAAGGAAGGGAAGCTGCAAGGTCTCAGTGCAACCGAACACCTAGTGTCAGCTGCAGAGGCTGGTGAGTTTAAAAGCAAAGAAGATTAGTGATTGCTTCTAGCCTTTCCATATGTTGCTTCATGCCTTTGTGTGTTGACCTTTTCTTACAGGTGGCAAATGTTAAGTGTTTGAGTCCAAATGCAGTCATTTATTGTTTGTAAATAAATTATTGATGTCTACAATGAATAGATTGATCAGAGTGGTCTCTTCAGTTTTGCTTAGAAATAGCATTTGTCAAAATACCTTTTAATCTTGTTTTCATTGTGTGTAAGCATCTTCCACATTTAGTACTAGATTGAGCACCAAAATATAACTATATGAATCTGCTGCTGTCAGCTTGTTAACTCATTAAATGTTTAACATTTTAGACTTGGAAAACACAAGACCTATTAAGTTAATAGCACAAGTGAATTGGTCATTACTCTTTGAAAATCTTTACGGTCTGAGTTTTCTTAGAGACTAAAGAGCTGAAATAAAAATGCAGCTTCTATCAGCAAGACTTGTTTCTAACATATGTCCTTGTATATGCTTCTGTGTTGTATTTAATCTAGGCAGTTGAGAAGACTCTTTATTAGGGTGTTGGAGCATTCATTTGATGGTGAAATATAAGGCATATTGTTTGATATGAAAAACAGTAATGGTCTATTCTACAACTGTATTTTCAATAACCTATAAAGCTATAACAGATTGATTCTATTAACCTGACAACAGGATTAAGCAGATTTCTCATGACTGAGGTGTCAATCAAATTTTGAACAACCACATACCCAAAGAATAACTTGAGTAGAAATTACTTAGCTTTCCTGTCTACTACAGAATACACTACCAACTGTGGAAAAGTGGGGCAAAAAAGGGGATGTACTAGGAATATGCAAAAAGCAATATGCTCTGCAGAAGTACCCCAAGTTGAACTTGATTGTGAGCTTGACAGCAGAGAGAGGGAACAATGTTGAGCATAAACTTTTGCTGTTTCAAGTAATACAAGTACTCTTGTAGGATAAGTAGTTTTGTCATTGTAGAAGCCTGGGTTACATTGGTCTGAACAAACTGGGCCAGGCTTTGGAGCTGGTGTAGCAACCCATCTAACTCCCATCTGTCCTCAGGAGCGATGACTCTCTGCATTACGAACCCAGTCTGGGTGACGAAGACGCGGCTGGTGCTGCAGTATAACGCTGGTGTGGATCCGTCCAAGCGGCAGTACAGAGGAATGTTTGATGCTCTTACAAAGATATACAAGACAGAGGGCATACGTGGCTTATATAAGGTAATAAAAATGAAGAAAATTTCCAGGATGGGGTGACACCACTCAGTAGCATGGTGAGACTTCTAAATACTTGTCTACAAAAAAACAAAAAGGCAATTTTTTTTTTATTAGCTTGCTTACTTTTATTTTGTTAGTCATCTTTCCCACTGAAGAACTGCTGCAAAAAGTCTTAAGAGGAAGAAAGGCTGTTATACTGGTGAAACTTAGGTAGTCACTGAAGAAGAGTGTTCAATCTTTGTGACTAGGCAAGCTTCCGTTGGGTGATAATGCTAAAATGAGAGTAAACTACAGTCTGCTTTTTAATTTTTTGGAGTCTTTCGATAATCAGAATTTGGACGAGGACAGCAATAGCATAATCTGTCTTGCTGGTAGTGCTTTCTTCCTTTTCATCCCTTATCTGTCTTTCTGACATCTCGTGGAACATAACATGTGACTAAAGTAGTTGCTAATTTTTTCTTCCACAGTGGATGGTTTCACAACTGCTCATATGCCCTCTAGTTATTGAGATCTGTAATCTGTCATCTCTAGATCCATAAAATTTGCAGACTTCTAAGTATGGTCTACATACGTGTCGGGGTTTTATTCCCTTTAATTTAGGGGAACAAATGGCAACTGGCTTTGGATTTTGCCTTCTCCTTCCTTCAGGCCATGACATTAAGGTACATTCATCAGTGCCTAGAAGGATTTGAAGAAACCTATTTTAGTTCAGTCTATCTCTTCTCTTGCAAGTAATGGTATAGAATAAGAATACTATCTCTTAGGAATTGTCCTGATTACTGAACACCAACTTCCTCTATTTGCAGTGAAAAATACAATCTTTCCTGTGCTGAAAGACTAGTATGCTACATAGTGATGAGTGCCAAATTATGACACCAGGAACAAGGCACCTTATTCCTAAATTGAAATTGCCAGGATTTCTGGTTTGCCTGCCTGTATGTCTGCTTTGTTCCATGCAGATAAGTTCTGATCTCTTGCGTCTGTTTAGGTTTAAGTTGCCAATCCATAGAGTTACTTTTCAGGTTGTTTGTGCAGGTAGCATGTGTTGCCTTTGGCAATAGACACTTCTTTGTGGTGTTAACCTGCAAGTGGAGAACTAAACCAGGTACTTCTTTGAAAGAGCAAATTACTTGCTTAAATCTGCAAAGAAGGTGGCCTAGATGGGTCCTTAGTGACCTACATAACTATGCACACTGAGCAACTTTAGTTGATGGTAGTCGGTTGTAGTAGTTTGACATCAGGATTCTCTCAACTTTGGCTATACTGGCAAAAAAAAAGGCAGCTCTTCAGGTGGCTCTTTGAATTGTACTTATCCATGCTTTAGCCTTTCTCCATTTTCTGTTTTCAGAGGAGTTTTCTTTTTTTCTCTTTATTGCTTTACTTGAAATTTGACAGCTGAAGTTTTGTTAATGGCCCTGAGTTTCAGGAGCCGTAATGCACATGGATGTCTTCTTTTTCCACATAATATTGATTTCAGATAGAGTTCCTTATGGAAAATAATGGGATCTCAAAGAATACTATGACAAGTTGGAAGTAAAATCTGGAAGCAGTTTCATTCAGATTAATTTGAGATTAGTCTTCTCAAGAATGGTATTTTTATCCCAACAATTCCGTATCTTGCTCTCTGTTGCATTGGGTGCTGTCCTACCAATCCCTTTCAGCACTTTGGGGCGCAAGGCTAGTAATGTCAGGATGCATTGATCTCTCTAACAGGGATCAAAGCTGTCTTTATTAGCTATTAAAGGTATTGTTCATTCATTAAAATGTAGTTCATCTGAAGCTGGATTCCTCAACAATTTGTTGTTCTTGAACTTGGCCTGGTTTTGACAAGACAGGATCCTTTGCTTCACTGATTATCCCAGTAATCATCTAGTCATTGATCTTCTCCATCCCTTAGGCTTTGTCCTTTGGCTTCCATCCCCCAGATGAATGCTGCACACCAGGCTGAGGACAAAAACCGCCTGAGGTTATATAATTTGAACATGCCTATAGATCTGTGAGAAACTTGAGCTCTAAGAATTACTTTGCCATGAAGTTGAATGTCATGGAACCATCTCCATGTTAAGAGTGCTGTATGGTTCTTTTCAACCACGGGTGTACATTTTTCTGGATAAAATATTGGTTGGATGGCTGGGCCCAGAGAGTGGTGGTGCATGGAGTTAAATCTAGTTGGTGGCCGGTCACAAGTGGTGTTCTCCAGGGCTCAGTATTGAGGCTACTTCTGTTTAATATCTTTACCAGTGATCTGGATGAGGGGATTGAGGTCACCCATGAGAGGTCACCCACATGTGTTCAGTGTTGGGCTCCTCACTACAAGAAGGACACTGAGGTGCTGAAGCATGTCCAAAGAAGGGTAACAAAGCTGGTGAAGGGTCTAGGGAATGAGCACTATGAGGAGCACCTGAGGGAACTGAAGTTACTTAGCCTGGAGAAAAGAAGGCTTGAGGTGAGACCTTATTGCTTTCTCCAACTACCTGAAAGGAGGCTGGAGCAAGGTTGGGGTCAGTCTGTTCTCCTGTGTAGCAAGCAGTAGGACAAGAAGAAATGGCCTCAGATTGTGCCAGGGGAAGCTTAGATTGGATATTAGGAAAAATTTCTTCAGCAAAAGGGTTGTCAAGCACACTGGACCAGGCTGCTCAGGGAAGTGGTTGAGTCACCATCCCGGGAGGTATTTAAAAGACATGTAGATGTGGCACTTAGGTACATGGTTTAATGGTCACCTGGCAGTGCTGGGTCAGTGGTTGGATTTGATGATCTTGTAGGTCTCTTCCAACCAAAATGATTCTGTGATTTAAGCATAAGGCAGTAGAGACCAAACATTGTAAAATAATGGTAAGACTGTAGAAGTTGGCACTTTCAGAAAACTAAAATATCTCTGAGCTCTTGAGAAACTGTTAGAAAGTGACTGGCTGCTAAAACATCAATCAAAAATGCCACTGACATTCCTCCTGGCCTCCACGCTGCTGTGTTTGTATTTTCAGTTTTGTTCTCTTTCAGCAATGATGCAGAAGCAGCAATTAGAAATAGAGCAATGCTTAAGAGACAACAGTGAAATAAACAGGAAGTGCAGAAATTTTAAGGAGATTAAAGGAAAGCAGAGAGTCATCAAGACTGGGATGTAGTATGCTAACAACAACAAACAAATCCTAGCGGTAATGTGTGCTCCTCACCAAGTGAAGTAGTACATGGGACACTTCGGTATTGTTGTTTCACCTTTGCCAGACAGGATTCTATACTCCTGAGGATCAGGTAGTTTTTCCAGTCCATTAATGTCTGAGGCACTTAGCTGTCTTTGTTTTGCTGATTTTGCTTATGCTGTTTTCCCTGCACATGTGAAGCTTCTAAGCTAAGTCCTGTGTCAAAAACCCACTGAGATTTGGCCATCCCCATTGTAACTTCAGTTCTCTTCTTCTACAGAGAGACAGAAGTAGAAGTAATTTTAATGTAAAAATGATATTGTTTTTCACCCAGAGGGAATCAAGGTGCATAGGGACACAATGGGATACTTCCAGTGTCTTTCTGGACAAGTTGCCAGAGCAGGGCACTCTGGTACTACTGCTCCGGGGCACGCCAAGAACCCAAATGAAGACAACACCAAACAGATGTCAGGGGGAACCTGCTGCATGCTTTCAAAACCTACAGCAGAGGCTGCTCTGGCATGAATGTTCAAATACTTCAGGCAGCAATGCAAGTACCACATCACCAAATGAACTTTATTCCCTACTTTAGTGGAAAGACTATGCTTCTTAGTATATACATTTGCTATGTTCTTTTTAAATTTGATGGGCAACCTTTGAAACTAATCAACAGGGCATTTTTCTCTCGTCTTGGATCTTGGGCACTTACAGCCATTTAAGCCAACTTTAAAATATTTTTTTTTTTTTTATTTCCCCCCCATCTACTGTTCAGAAATACATACTTTAGCATTTAAATTTCTAGTTACATGTTTCTGTCTATTGTTCTAATTTTCCGAAAGAAAATCCAAACAGGACTTCTTTGAGCAAGCACTGATCGTGTCAAGACCTCATGCCAAAAACCTGCTGAAGATATGGTTTGAATATTAAAGTAAAACATAAAAAGACATACACAAAGTGAAATGATGTTAAAATTGATTTTCACAGTCATAGCTGAAAAATAAGTATCAAATCCTATCAAATTTTGTAGCAAGAAAGATTTTTTTTTTTTTTTTTTTTTTTTTTTTAAACATA